TTGACTTGTGGTTATATACCAAAATCTAAAACAAACCAGAAAATTATAGACAGTAAATGTGACCTCACTGTGGTTATTTTACCCTTGGGGGAGAAAAATTTTAAAGGAATTAGGGAGGAGAATTGGAGACATAGAAGAAGGAGAAGGAGGCAAGTGCGAGGTTGTGAGTTCAAGCCCTCGTACTAAAAAATAGGAGGAGAAGGAGGAGAAGGGAAAGGAGAAGGAGAGCTTGGAGGGCAGACTGGAGGACAAAGAAGACGCTGCAAACTGAGAAACTGGTGAAGAGACCGGGAGGGAACAGGGAAGGAAGAAATAAGCACCAAGAGGCTGAGGCAGGAGGATTGCTGACACTCTGAGGCCAGACTGTGCTACACAGTGAGCTCAAGCCTGAGTGGAACTACAGGGTGAGGCCCTGTCTCAAAAAAGAAAAAATAGAAGTAAGAAGTAAAAACAAGAACAGAGCACAACAACACTGACACATCTAGAGAGGATGCTCATACAGCACAACAATAAACTGTTCAAAATGATGCCCAGTGACGAGGTTCACACCTGTACTCTCAGTGCTCAGGAGGCTGGTACAGGAGGATTGCCGGGAGGTGAGAATAGCCTGGGTTCAATGCCCTTCTCCTGGGGAACGTCTGACCCTGAATAACTCTGCAGCCACTGCAGGGTCCTGCACCCACCGCTCTGATGCACTGTGCATTTCCTGTGGAGCCCTCTGGGGTCAGCAGTGGTCTCCAGGGGTCTGCAGCTTTGAGCCGCCCCTCCCAGGACTGAGTCAGGGCTCAGGGAGGAAGCGCCCTCTGCCACCTCTTCTTCTTCACTGGGGTCTCCCTCTTCGCTCTCCCTGTGAACCTCAGTTCTCCCTGCAGAGCCTTGCTGAGTCCTGGTGGCCCATGTCCCTGCTTCTTCTCTTGCTCACATTGCAGCTTTGCAGCATCTGACACCGCACCTAGGAGAGGCTCTTTCTCTGCTGCTCACCTCTCTGCCATCTTCCTGCGAGTCTCCTTTAATTATTGAACTCTCCTGGGTTCTGATTCTCCTAGATGACGACATGAAAATATTTTGGGTTGTTCCTTATATTTTTTAATTTTAATTAATTAAGTAATATTTAACACCAAATATATTTATTAGAAGAGAAGAAAGTTATGAAATATCCTCATATCTTTCCTTAAGAAATTAGAAATAAAAGATAATAAAACTGAAAATGAATAGAAGATAATAAAGATAGGAGACACAATCCCTTATCAAAATACCAACATTATTTTTCATAAAAATTAACATTTTGATTGTTACGTTTCTGCAGAAATACAAGACTCAGAATAGCATAAACAACTTTGATAAAGGAACAAAATTAGAGCTCCAAGTCTCTCCACTCCCATGACTTATCACAAAGTTACACCAATCATGACACAATGGCACTGATCACAATATAGAAAGCCACCAGAGTACCAATATAAAGTCCCAAATAGAGACCCACACAACAGACAGTTGATTCTGGCAAAGATGCAAAAGCAATTAAGTGGAGAAAGGGTTCTACCTTCAATAAATACACTGGAACAGCTGGATATCCACACAAGATACCCAAACCTTATGGCACATCAAAAATCTCTTAAAACATCAAAAGGCAACTCCAGATGGCTCACAGTGGGTTAAAGTGAAGGCAGGTGTGCCCGAGTCGTTGCTTTGGCTGAGGTCATTCTCTCTGGGACAAAAAGGCTGCGACAAAGTATAAAAGGAAAGGCAGAACCTACAGAGGTGTTCAGTGAAGGGAGGCACTGAGCTGGCTTCTGAACAGGCTGTGTGGACGACAAAGGAGGCCATTATGCTTCTTTTTTAAGCTATCTTAACCATCTTTTATATACATATACATACCCATATACATGTTTTTCTTTCATCTTGTCACACTAATGAAACAATACGATGTTTATACATGAATGTCGCATTTATATCACTAGGAAGTATGTTCTTAAGGTACATCCATTTACCTATAAAAGTCTCCAGTTTATCATTCTTTACAGCTGAGTAGTACTCCATTGCATAGTAATATCACATCTTTTTTACCCATTCCTCAGTTGATGGGCATTTAGGTTGTTTCCAAGATCTGGCTATTACAAACTGTGCTGCTATAAACATGGGTGCACAGATATCACTGTGCTATAATTCTTTTGGGAAGATACCCAGAAGGTGCATAGCTGGGTCAAATGGGACCTCCAATCCTAGATTTTTGAGGAATCTCCACACTGATTTCCACGTTGGTTGCACCAGTCTGTATCCCCACCAACAGTGGAGAAGAGTTCCTTTTCTCCACAGCCCTTCCAGCATTTGTTATTGGTTGATTTCTTGATAGCAGCCATTCTTTCTGGGGTGAGGTGGAATCTCAGTGTTGTTTTAATTTGCATCTCTTGAATGATCAGTGCTGTTGAACAATTTTTTTCATGTATTTATCTGCTGTTTGATTTCTTCATCTGAGAAGTGTGTGTACATCTCAGATGCCCATTTTTGGATTGGGCTTTTCAAGCTCGGAGGACTGACTTCTTTTTTGAATCCTTTATATGTTCTCAGTAGTAATCCTTTGTCTGAGGAACAGCTGGCAAACATTTTCTCTCACACTGTGGGTCGTCTCTTCACTCTTGCTGTGCACAGAATCTCAGTGGGGTCAGATCCCAGTTGTTGATTCTTTGCGACAGTTCCTGTGCAATCGGGGTTTTGTTCATAAAGGCTTTGCCTACACCAGTGTCTTCAAGAGTTTTACCTACTCTATATTCCAGCAGATTTCATGTTTCTGTTTTAATATTAAGATATTTAATCCATTCTGAGCTTATCTTACTACATGGTGAAAGACATGGATCCAGTTTTAATCTTCGGCATATGCAGAGCCAGTTTTTCCAGAACCATCTATTAAAGAGGTTATCTTTTGTCCAGTAAGTGTGTTTGGCACTTTTGCCAAAGAAAAGGGTGCTGAGTGCGTCTAGAGTTGTTTCTGCATCTTCTGATCTGTTCCACTGATCTTTAGGTCTGGTTTTTTGGCCAGTACCACACTGTTTTTATCCCAGTAGTTTTATAGTATAATTCCAACTCAGGGATTGTGATGCCCCCTGTCTTGTCTTTGTTGCCCAGGATTACCTTTGCTATTTTAGGTCTATTCTGATTCCAGGTGAATTTTAGGATTGTTTTCTCTAATTCTGAAAGATATGCTATTGGAATTGTTATTGGGATTGCATTGACGCTGTATAACAGTTTTGGAAGTGTGGCCCTTTTCACTATATTGATTCTTCCCAAGAGCATGAGCTATGGTCTATTTTCTAATCTTCTTCAATCTCCTTTTTCAGAGTACAATAGTTTTCAATGTAGAGGTCTTTTATATCCTTTGCTATTTATTTATTTTTCATGAGGCAGGATCTTGCTATGTGGTTCAGCCAAGCTTTGAACTCACTGTTGAGGTCAGCATTCAACTCATGACAATTCTCCTGTGTCAACTTCTTGAGTGCTGGGAATACCCACATGTGCCAGCACACCCACCTGGGTTGCTGCTTTTAAAAATAGCTTGCCAAATAAACATTATTGGGTTTTGGCTGGCTTGTTTCTCTTTTTGAGGTTAGATTCCTGGTCCCACTTCTTTCTTACTCTTTTAATTTATTTCCCCAGTACTAGAAGTTAAACACAGGGAGTACTGAACTAGGTCCTCAGTCTGTTTAAATTTTATTTTGAAACAGGACCTGACTGAATTTCTCAGGGTTGACTTTAACATGTGTTCGTCCCGCCTCAGCCTCCTGACTAGCTGGGATTACAGGTGTGCACCAGCCCACCCGGCCCCTTCCTCTCTCCCTCTGTGTGCTCTGCCCGTACAATCTTCCCGCTGCACCAGAGAGTCTTGTTTAGGGTGAGAGCTCTCAAATCTTTGCAGCTATGGAAGGTGTTCCACATCAAAGGCTCTGAACAGACACAAGTAGGAGCTTTACTCTTCACTAGCAGCTCAGTCCAAGAATTAGCCTACTCATGGAACAACCCAAAGGAAATTTCTAGAGCTCAGAATAAATTTACACTAAGGACACAAGAGGTGGCCCCAAAGTGGGTGTAGAGGAGGCCTTCATGATTCAATGGCCACTCCCAATGACGTGTAAGAAAGGAAGGCCTGACTGGGCGGGGTTACGTGGTTCCAGACGCAGCCCTGTGATCCCAGCCCTTGGGAGGCTGAGGCAGGAGGACCGTAATGGTCTGAGGTCAGCCTGGGCTGCACACTGAGTTGAAGGACTAGAACACAGCTTGTGTCTCAGGGGCCCCCCAAGCCTCCTGCAGTCACAGGTGGGCTTTTCAGTGATGTCAAGTCTGTGTGAGATCAAGTGTGTGTGAGTAGGAAACCAGTCCACCGATTGGATTGGCATCGTTCTGGGCAGGAGTAAGGGAGCCCCTCCTTAGATATGAGCGGGGTGGGGTAAAATCAAAGAGACAGAGAGAGGCGCCCAGCGCTCAGCGCTTGTTGCTGCTGCGGCTTGTCTCTTGCTGTCCTCCTCCTGGCCGGGACCACTGCCCCTCTGCGATGCCCCTCTGCTCTGCCACCTGCCTTGAGACTTCCGGTTACAGGGAGAAACAGCTCCAAAACGTGAGCTAAAAAACGTTTCTTCCTTTAACTTTGGGTGTTGGTTATTTTGTCTCAGCAAAAAGAAACGTAACTGAGAATGCCAGCTTGAACTGCACAGGGAGACCCAGTGTGAAAACAACAACAAACCCAGACAAACAGAAACACTAAATCAGGAACTCAAAGCAGCCAGGCTGATTGGAGATAGGAGCAAACAGCCCGGAAACAGATGCAGCTCCCCAGATGCAGCTCCCGGTCCCAGGCAGGGGGTGGGGCTAGGGCTCCTAGACTCTGGCTCAGTCTGAGTGCGGATGGAGGCGTGGCCGGGGCGGGTCTGGGGCTGTGGCCCGCGCTGGGCGCTTGGGAGGAGGCAAAGATCAGCAGAAGCAGACAAGTGGCATCGTGCACCCCTGCCCTGCAGGTCCCAGGCTGCAGAGCAGGAGCTGCAATGGAGTCCGAGTGGGACGCGCTGAGCGCGCTGGGGGCCATCACGGCCGCCTGGCTGCTGCTGCGGGGGACCTGGGGAGTGGCCCGCGCTGTGTACGTGTACCTGCTGCCCCAGGTCCGGAGGGGCAATGCTTGGCTCCGGGCACAGGGAGCCTGGGCAGGTAAGGGACCCGGGGTTCTCCTGAGGCGGTGTGGGTGGGGGCTGCGAGGTGGACAGGTCATGGGTGAACGGTGGGAACCCCTGTCCCCAATCAGACAGTGGCCAAGGGCCTCAAAGAAGCAAGAGAGGAAAAGGCTGGTGCTACCACGCAAAGGGAGGGACAAAGTACCAACACGGTGAGGTGAGAGGAGCCAGTGGCAGAGAGGAGCGGGGTGATGGACAGGACAGGGGAGGAGGCCTCTGCTCACCGTGTGCAGCACAGCTTTCATGTGCAGAGCCCGGGATCCAGGCCTGGGGCACAGCAATGATCTCAGCCCTGGGAGCCTGCATTAGGAGCACTGAGGGGAGACTGAGGCCACCCAGGCTGCCTAGAGAGGCCCTGTCTGGAACAATCAAAAGCAGTGGCTGGGGCTGTGTGCAGATTCCAGTGGACAGTGAGGGTAACCAGCCCTAGCAGAGGGGGCTCTGCCTGGAGCAGAGGCAGCCAGTCCAGGAGGGACCTCGGGGGACTGAGGATGGGGCAGGGGATCGCAGTAGGACTCGACGGTAGGGCAAGTTGCCCACCCCCTGCCCCCTCTTCTCTCTCCTAGTGGTGACAGGAGCCACCAGCGGCATTGGCAAGGCCTACGCACACGAGGTGAGTCGGGTGGTGGCTTCCATGCTGATTTCCCTGTCACCAGCCCCCTGGGGAGAGCTAAGTGCCCCTCACCCTCTCATCCCTCTCATTATTGCCCCGATTCATTCCTTCAAATCCTGTTTATTGACCACCTACTCTGTGCCAAGCATCTTCCTGGGCCTGGGGATGCAGCAGTGAGCACAAGAGAGTTTTTGCAAGAGTGCAAGTCCTGCCCTCGTGGAGCTTATCTTCCAGCCAGGGCAGAGGGGCATAAGCAAGGTCCGGCACATGGAGTGAGAGGTGGTGGTCAGGGAGAAGGAGACACTCAGGAAAGAGGACGGATCCCATCATTCTCAGGCTTGTGAAGCAGGCCTGAGTCCTCTTTTGTGAGTGGCGTTAGCTGTGCTGTCCTGGCTGCCTCCGTGTGCTGAAGCAGCTCAGAAGGGTGAGCATTTGGTGATGGTGACTGGGGGGAAGCCAGGAGTTCCACGGTGGCAGATCCAGTGAATGGGGTGGGTGAGGCGGTAGGGCAAGGGCTCCCCGAGTCTGCCTTTCCCCTGGATGGCACCCAGAGGGGCAGACAGTATATTCCTCCTCACACCGTGAAAGATTTGGAAGAGGAGAGTCAGGACAAAGAACCTTTTGCTGGGATGTTGAGTGACAAGAAAGGCACGGTTAGTTGCCTATGCTGATGGGAACAACCTAGACGGCGGGATGTGGTGCACAGGGGGCAAGAGCAAAGCTAGAGAGAGCATTGTCCTGGATCTGGCAAGAATGGAAGGCACTTGAGTGACCAGTGGAAGAGTGACAGCCACACATAGGCAGACTGCACAAGTTGGTTGGTGGCTACAACCACTGTGTGCCATCACTGTTTGGGGACCAGTCTGTCCCACCCACTGCCCTGTGCTATGAGGCCAACAAGGAAAGGCTGGGACCATCCTGCTGGTGCCAGTCACAAAGTGGGTGCTGGGCAAAGTGTTTGATGAGTGAATGAAAGAATGAATGAATGCTCTTGCACCATCAACATCTCAGTACATGGAGCTCTTGAGACCCCGGGGCAGAGCCTCCTTCACAGCCGAGGGACAGTCAGTCCCATCTCACGTCACCCTCACCGTCCAGGCTAAGAGGGACAGTCAGGCACTGAGTGCACACCCATTCCCCAATCACGTGTGTTTTCTAGCTCAGCATCAAGTGGACGGGGCTTCAGGGCAGAAGGACTAGAAGGTGCAAAGGCCCAGGAGCAGAAAAGGCAGGGGCTGCTGGGTGGGACCCCAGGAGTCAGGGCTGTGCCTGGCCTCTCACAGAAGGATGGGACAGGAGGTCCAGCTGAACACAACAGGTTTGTGGGTTTGTGGCAGGGTCCCCGGGGAGCCAGGGCAGGTTCTGAGCTACAGCAGGGCAGAGTTGGGTTTGTGCTTTGCAGAGAGACCTTGCAGTGAAGAGTATGCAGCACGGGCTGAGCCCGGGGTGCCCCAGGCACTATGAGTCCCCAATCCCAAGCAGGTGCTCGCTAGGCACACAGGAGTGAGGGAGAATAAAGACGGGATCAGGCAGCCAAGTGGTGAGAGGCAGAGCCTGCCTGGGACCCTGGGAGTCCTCGAGCTGCTACACAGAGGTCACCTCAGTCTGCCCACTGTGCCCAGAGCTGCTCTCCCTGGGTCTTTGTCCTCCTCCCCATGGTGACCTGGGGCTCTAACACTGAGCGTTAAGGTCAGTACTAAGTTAATCTTTATTGATGGTTGAAGGCCAAAATGTGGAAAGCAGTTTGGAGTAGTTGTGCATACCTGGAATCCCAGCTCTTTTGCATGCTGAGGCAGGAGGATCGCAACTAAAATGAGGCCTGGATGAGTGAGGGGCCTGTGTCTGAAGAATTAAAAAGGCTGACAGTGGAGCTCAGTGAGAAGGCCCTGGGTTCACCCCAGCTCCTGGTGCAGGGCTGGAGGGGTGCAGGGCTGAGTAAGTGACTGAATTTCCGCAGCTGGCCAGGAGGGGGCTGGACATCGTCCTCATCAGTAGAAGCCTCAGCAAGTTGGAGCAAGAGGCCAGGGAGATTGGTGAGCGCCCAGGCTGTGGGGAAGCTCTGGGCTCCCTCAGCTGGGGTCAGGGGCGCCCCTGATGGCCCGAGGCTCCTGCTGTGTGCAGTGGGGCTGAGCAGGGACAGGGGCAGGGCCTGACCCTTCCCGTCCCCCAGAGCGGTTGCACGGCAGGTCCACGCGCATCATCCAGGCGGACTTCACCCGGGGCTTGGAGATCTACGGTGCCATCGAGGCAGGACTGCGGGGCCTGGAGATCGGAGTCCTGGGTGAGTTGCCCGCCAGCCTGCTTCGCTGACCTGGAGGGCGACGGGTCCCCTCCATTGCCCCACTCTGTGTCCCCTGGCCTGTCAGGGACATCGTGTGACCTCTCACGCAGTGAACAATGTTGGCATGGTGTATGGAGGCGGTGGCTCAACCTTTAGGAAGCTGCTGGACCTTGAGGACGTGGGCCAGGTGAGTCCGGGCTGCTGCGGCGCTCTGCTGCCCTCTGCTGGACGCGACGCAGAACACACCGGCGTCCCCAGCGCCATCATTGTCTTTGGCTGGAAAAATGTTTACAACAAACACAGTGTCTGTGCGTGAATGAGGCGTCCTCTTGCAGTGCTCAGCCTGCACAACTGTAGGCGTGAGCCTGGTTCTCACCTTTCATATTCCCGGATGCTGACTTTAAAAAGGTACCACACGGGAGAACCAGAAAGTAGATTCTCTAAATGGAGAGAGAGAGGAAGAAAAGGAGGGAGGGAGGCAGAGAGAGAGAGAGAGAGAGAGAGAGAGAGAGAGGGAGGGAGGGAGGGAGGGAGGGAGGGAGAGAGAGAGAGCATGTCAATGTGTAAGTGGTGCAGGCTGACCTTGAACTTAGGATCTTTCTGCCTCAGTCTCCTGTGCAGCTGGGATTGCAGACCTGCATCACTTGTGCTGTGCTTTATTTTTGGATATTCATTTTGTTTTTGTTTGTTTATTTTGTTATTGAGTCAAGCTAGCCCTGAATTTGTGTGGATCCTCCTGCCCCAGCCTCCCGAGTGCTGGGGTTCCGATGTGGACCTCCGTGCCCAGCCTTGGGTCAGTCCTGCTCAAGGGCACAGGTGCTTTTCTCATGTGAGCGTCCGGCTTCCCTGGCACCACTGGCTGAAATGACTGTCCCGTCCCCACTGGGTGACCCTGGTGCCCTGTCAGCAATAAGGCCCACGTAAGGCCTGGACTCCGTTCTGTCGCACATGTCAGGCTATCTGATTCCTGCTAGCGCCATGCTGTGCTGAGCACTGTGGCCTCCTGATGCTCCTTTCTGACTCTGTCTCTGTCTCTGTCTTTGTCTCTGTCTCTATCTCTGTCTCTCTCTCTCTCTCTCTCTGTCTCTCTCTCGGTTCTCTGAGGCAGACTCTCACTTTGTAGGACAGGCTGGACTCGAACTCATGCGACCCTCCAGCCTTAGTCTCCTGAGAGCTGGGGTGAGAGCCCTGCAGCACCACAGCGGCATCTGTTTATTTTCACAGTGAAGATTAGGTCACTTTGCTGTGTGTGTGCTCCGCTTTTGTTTTTCTGGTACTGCAGACTGAATCCATGGTGCTCTACCACAGAGCTGCATCCCAGGTCCTTTTTATTTGGAGACAAGTCCTCACTAAAACAACTGTGTAGACAGGCTGGCCTTGAGGTTGTGATCCTCGTAGCTGTGCTGCCCGGGCTGCTGGGATTACAGACAGGCAGCACCTTGCGAGCCTGGGGACAAATAGGTGTGAGAGGATCTTAGAAAGCAGCGCAATGCCACGAGAGGAGTTGAGAGGTGGAAGGAGGGGCGTGTTTCATTTTAGTGCGAACTATTTCCTTTACAAGGTGTTCAGAATTTTGAAAATCAGAAAAACGGCCGGGTGTGGTGGCATAGGCAGGTAATCAGAGAACTGTGGAGGCTGAGGCAGGATAATCTTGGCAAGTTGGAAGCCAACTTGGGCTACATAGTGAGTTTGAGGCCAGCCTGAATACATAGCAAGTCCCCGTGTCAAAGAAAGGAAGAAAGAAAGGAAGAAAAAAAAAAAAAGAAAGAAAGAAAGAAAGAAGAGAGGGAAAAAAAAGAAAGATTAAGCTAGGAAGACAGGAAACGTGGGAGGTGTGGGGGCTTGGGAAGCAGGTGGTGACGGGCTCCGTGTTCATCCCCAGAGCATATCAGATATCATCAACTGCAACGCGATGTCGGTGGCACAGGTCAGTGGGGCCGGGAGGGTCCGGTCCAGGGGCAGTGTGGCTGCCACCACCCAGGGGTCTGCATCTGGGGGCGCGGGTGCCTGGGTCAGCCCCTGAGGGGACTGGGACAGCACCTGGATGAGGAGGGCCAGGGAAACACATGTGCCTGGTCTGCCCCACAGATGGTCCGCATTGTCCTGCCCCAGATGGTCAGCAGGTGAGAGCCGCTCGCTGTCCTCACGCTACATTCCCCAACCCCGGCCTCCAGGCTGCCCATTCCCTACCCTCCCCGTTTCCAAGTCATCAGCCCAGGCTGACCTGGAGCTCTTCACCCTCCTGACTCAGCCTCGGGGCTGCAGGGATTATGGGCTTGCAGCACCGTGCCAGGTCCCAGTCTTCGCTCTCAGCCCTTTGAGAATAGGGCTCCTGCCATGGGAGGGACAGTCACCTCGCCCAACACAGTTCCCTCCAACAGGGGCAAAGGTGTCATCATCAACGTGTCTTCCCAGGCCGGCTCTATGAGCTTCCCATTTCATGCCTTATACTCAGCTACTAAGGTACCTGGACACCCAGACTCCGGGCGGGGGCACATCTCACCGCAAGTCCTCCCTGGACCCTGTGTCCTGGTGGGGAGATTGTGGTGGAAAGTGCTGGGTGTGGGTGGGGACGCGGAGTGGGTGCCCTCCCTGGGCCTAGGCTGGGGCTCCTGGGTCCTCTTCTCTTCCCCCTGCAGGCCTTTGTGCGAATCTTCTCAGAGGCGGTGTGTGCAGAGTACTTTCCTCACGGTGTCACCATCCAGGTGCTCACAGGGGGTGGCGGAGGCTCCTATGATGGGGTTGGGGTAGCAGCTGTGGAGGACAGGGCTGAAGAAGCCGGGTCAGAGAGATCTGGGACTCGGGGTTCGGTGGCATAGTGGTATCTGTGGGGTTGTGGTCACTGGGATTGTGGTCTCACCCTTGGTGGGGGCGGTGTTTGAGCTTGGGTTTTAGGATCTCTTTAGATGTCAGAGGGCGGGGTCAAGGCCTCGGGGGCGTGGTCAAGGTATTAGTGGGTGCCAGGGGGTGGAGTCCAGGCCTTAGGGTGGGTCTACATCTAGGCACAGAGTCTAGGCCTAAGGGTGGGCCCTGTGTCCTGGACGCTGGGTGTAGGGTAGGTCCACATCTGGCAGGCAAATATATTTAGGGGCCTTCCAGACCCAGCCAGACAGGGCGGGCAGCTGGGTCTCAGGACACAGGGGCAGCATTGTTTCTTATACCCTGTTCCTCCTGTCCTGCAGACCGTGAGCCCCATGTTTGTCTCCACTAATATGATCGACAATGCACAGACTGGGCTGCTCGTGAAGGACGCTGACGAGTTCGCCCGTGAGGCGCTGGACACGCTGGGCCTCTCCTCCCATGTATCGGGCTGCCTCTGGCACTCGGTGCAGGTGCCTCTCTGGCGGGCACTCCCTGCTCGGGCTGGGTGGGGAGGTGCAGGGGAGCCTGGGCTGACTCTGCCTCTCTCCTGCCCAGAGCTTCCTGCTGCCTTTTGTCCTGCCCCAGTGGTTAAGGCACAGTCGCTGGATGGTCAATCTTCTGTCTGCAGGAAGCAAGTCCAAACTTCTCCCTTTCGTTAAACCTCAAGGGACTTAGTAAAGATGGGTCCCAAAGTCTCCCGGGGGTGTTGTGGAGCAGCAGGCCACTGTGACACCGCACACTGGGTGGGAGGGCGGCCTGGCTCTGTTCTGGCAGAAAGATGCAGTTTTCCATATGAGCTGTGAACCTGGTGACATTTTATAATTAAAACATACTGTAGTGGTCGCACAGCTTAGTGAGTGTACTGAATAAAGTGAATTGCACAGCACACAGCAGGGCTGACGCTTACATGGCTGTCTGTTAAAATAGCTGCAGGATGGAGCCCTCACTCTGTGGAAACACCGCTTTCCTTCCTTCCTTCCTTCCGTCGTGCACAACATAAACTTCAAATGAATCTGCACTCCCCAGCCAAAAGGGACAGGGAATGACTGGAGTCAGGGGCCAGTTCTTTTCCATCTTCTGAGCTTTCGGGTTGGCATTTGTGGTTTCTGAGACAGGGCTGGTTGTGGAGCCCAGGCTGGCCTCCACCTCACGCTGACCCTCCTGCTGAGCCTTCTGAGTGCTGGGATTACAGGTGGGCACCACCATGCCCTGCACACTTTCCATCTTGAGAGTCGGAAAAACCCAAATATTGACGATTTAAAGCAACAACAGAAAGAACCACTAATAAGCCTTCAACAGGGCAGGCTCCAGTTAGCTGGAGAGTGCACTCTCCCTGTGGGGACTTTGACCGTCATGGGAAGGCAGATGGATGAGTGATGGGGAAAGCAGGATGGGCGGTGTTGGTGGTAGAGCCTAGGTGGCCACTGTGTAATTTCTTTGGTTTCTTTGTAGATTTGCAATGTCTCATAATAAAATGCTGGATGAACTGGTCCTGGTGGTACACAGGTGTAATCTTGGCACATGGGAAGACTTAGGCAGAGGAGTGCCAGAAATTTGAGACAAAATTCTGTACATAGTGAGTTCAGTGTCAGTCTGAACTTCATAGCAAGACACTATCTTAAAAAAAAAAAAAAAACCTAAGGGAAACCCAAGAATAGTAAAATAAATTCTATAAGTTTACTGAAACTGCTTTAGAAATTGCTAAGAAACAATGATTCAATCCAGTGTGATGGTGCCTGCCCAGCATTCCAGCACTCTTGAAGACTGGACACCTCAGTGAGTTAGCAAGACCCTGCTGCAAAATCTAAAATAAAATATAAGTTTAAAAGGGCGGATGGGCAGTCAGGGTGGCACCGGACTATCATCCCAGCACTTGGCAGGCTGTAGTGGGAGGATCACTTCGAGTTGGCAGCTAGCAGGGCTCCATAGTGAGTGCAAGGCCATTCTGATCTGCATAGTGAGACCCTACCTCAAAAAGTTAAAAACTAACTTTAAATACACAAAAGGGAGAGACTGCCCCTCAAGCTCAATCTGCTCCCTCTGGTTTCAGTCCCATTACAGATAAGAACCATGCTGTAGCAAAGTAAATGTTGGGAGAATCTCAGAGAAGATGTTTACAATTTGCATCATATTCAAGATGTTTGTCTCCTTAATACTTGAAGGACTTTTTAAATGATAAAGAAAAAGACCAAAGTCCCAATTTGTTTTCAAGACCCAAGAGAGCAGATAGTTTTAGAGAAAATCAGACAGCTACCCCTACCCGTTATGGAAAGCGCTCAGCCTCACTTGTGATGGAAACGTCACCAGGCTGCAGTAGGGGGCACGCGTGGCGTGGCTGAGGGCCTGGACCTGATGCCCAGGACAGGAGAAGGAGAGGAAAAGGAGGAGGGGAGGGGTGAGGACCTGGATAAAGAGTACTCTAAGGTAGCATTGTTCACCCGTGGAATTGGCAGAGACTCCCATGCCTGAGGAGATGCTCCAGTGCACTGCTGGGACCACTGAGGCAGGAGAGTAGGGCAGAGCACACTCCCTGGAAAGTCCTAAGAACCCAGAGGACATGCACAGAACACAGGACCCAGGCCCCGCCCTCTCCTGAGCCCTGAACCTGGAGCCAATCAGAAAGCGGTATTCTCAGTCCTCATTTGCATCCGGCTGGAGCCAGGAGAGGCCTTCCACAGTGTGGTTTCAATGTTGTGGGTGGATGGGCGATATTTTGATGGAACAAGTGTCCGCCCGGGTGTCTTACTTGCATGAGGGAGAAGCTGATCCAGGAACTTCGGACCCCGAAGAGCGATTCAGTTTGGAGCCCGCGCTGGCCGCTGTGCCCCTCTGGCCGCAGCCTCCACGGTGCTGCATTACAGGTGTGTGCCAGCACACCTAGCTTTCCCAGCGGTTCCTTTTCCACCTGCAGTAAATGTGCGTTCTTGCCACCCTTTCGGTGTGTGCTGTGCGATTATTTGTACAGGATGCTGAGATCTGGAAGGAGGAGCACACCTGCCCCAAACACACACCCACTGTCAGGTAACAGTGCACCCTCAGTGGGGAAAAACTGACAGAGATATGTGCTGACTTTTTTGGTTTCGGTATTTTTTCTTTTTTCTTTTTTTGGTACCAGGAAATGAACTCAGGGCCTAGCACTTGCCATGTAGGTACTGTGCCACTGAGCTACTTTCCTGGCCCTGATTCTTTTTTGCTGTCCTAGGGGTTTGAACCTGGAGCCTTATCTATGCTAGGCAGGTGTTTTATCACTGAGTTACATCCCGGGCTTTTTAAATTCTATTTTGAAATACTTACCTCAGTAAGTTGCCTAGTCTGCTTTCAAAGTTGCACTCTTCCTGCCTCAGCCTTCCAAGAAGCTGGACTGACAGGCATGCAGCCCTGAGCTCTGTGCTTTTACTCCTAGCAGTGTGCTTCCGAGGTCATGTCCTGGGCTCCCATCTTACAGAGTCCCTAAGTGTGGGAAGATACTGGGTAGAGCTGGGCTTGGTGGCACATGTGTATAATCCAAGCTCTTGGGAGAATGAGGCAGGAGGATCTCCAGGACTTTGAGGCCAGGTCGAAATACATAGTGAGACCCATCTCGAATGGAAAGTAAGTTCATATCTTTGAGCTCGAATAGGTAAAAGATAGGTTTTGATTTGTAATTTTGTTTTCAGGACAAAGGATGAAATCAAGGGTCTTTGCACTGAGCTACATTTCCTGTCCTGTGTTATTATTATATCAGTATTGATTTTTATATCTCTTCTTGATTTTAAAGCCTCCCCATAGAAACCAACAGTGGAAAGGGACCCTCACTATGGACAAAGGAATCCCACCCTCACCCTGAGCAGGGGCAGGGACTGTGGACCCCAGCAAGTGCACCACACTCCCTGTGGTGTCTTCAGATCCGGCCTGAGAGGAAGGAGCTGAGCGCTTCCATGCCGGCCGCTGCCATCTACTGCAGATCCCCCAGCCAGCGTGTGAGTGCAGCTGCACAGCCCTGAGGACCCCAAGTGGAGCGTGAGCACCACCCTGCCTCAGGGGCCCGCACATGCCTCTGAGCCTGCCTGAGGAGCACAGCATGGAGCCTGCGGAGGGAAGAGATTTCCTAACCCAAGAATCAGGGCAGCACCACACTCAGCCTTGGAGCTGCTGGAAAGAAGTCCTGAGAGGTGGTTGGCTTCAACTTTGTGTGGCAAGGCAGAGGTGACACTGGCAGGACTTTCCTGAGGTTATATGGGTGTGACTGCATGTCATCACTCTGGGTTTCATGTAGCAAAGTGAGTGCGAACTCCCAGGTGTCAAGGCAAATTTATAGAATAGCAAAGTTATAGACCTCGTAGAGCAGAAGTTTAACAATACCAGTCAGTGCCCTGGGACCATACTCATGCTGCCTGTCACAGAGTGAGCCTGCTCGGCATCACATGACTGAATCAAAGTGTGTGTAACTGAGCTCTTAGTGTACTTGGTGCTGGTGATTTGGACCTGGACCCCAGCAGCCCACTATTGCCATGAGTCCATTCCTTCCAAACTCCTCTGTGTGGATCATTTGTGTTTTTGTAAAGTGTTTTCTGCAAAATTCTCGATTCCTCGCTGGGACAACACTGTGCTTAGCTCTCTGAGTGAGCAGCAGAGTCCTCTGGTCCTGATAGCACTCACCGTCCAGTGTGCAAAGGAGAAAGTGTACCCTCGGGCTCTTTCCTCTGAGTCTCCCCAGTGGTCCAGGAGCTGGAGGCCCTGTGTGACAGCAGGGACCTCACTGCACCCACAGGAGGAGCTGGAACATGACCGATTCATCCCTCTAATCAGGCGGGATTCCCCTGGTTTCCCCTTTGGTCCCTGTCAGGTGTCATGCACTGTGTGAATGAAGGACAAACTGACCACTCCTCACTGCTGGCACCTGCTTCTGTTTCCTGGTTTTCCCTGAGGAGTGCGGGGCTGGACCTTGTGAACCTGTGTATGCCAGTGAGGGGATGTGTGGGCTGAGCTGAGCGGAGATTGTGAGGAACAGTTCACTCTGTCTGTGCTCCACAGCCTCAGCCACAGAGGCTCAGATCTGCAGAGCCTGAGCGGGCCCTAACTTGAGGCTCCATGGACATGTTCAACTGAGCTCTGCTTGGCAAGCTTTCTTCGGAGACAAAAGCAGACACATCGGAGAACACACTGGCGCTTCTCTTTAGTCCTGAGGATCCCAAGGCTGGTGAGAGCCAACAGCCAGGCAGGGTCCTGAGTGCTGTCTCCTTCCAGAGGGGAACCCACCCATTTTTCGGCTGTGAAATCATTCAGGGCACAACACTCACACCACAGGGAGTCAGTCTGGGTGCAAGTCAGGGTCAGCCTACTGTTCTAGTCTACAAGGTAGGAAACCTCAAGGAAGGCTTCTCAGAGGACTCGGGTGGAAATGGAAGCTCAGAGGCTCAGGCACTTTCTGTGAGAAGGCTAGTGCTTATGCGTCTCTCGATCACCAGAGGGAACCGTGAAACTAGAAATCATCTGCCCAGTCGGAGACAAAGTGACCAACCATTCACCTAAGGGTGATGCTGATCAATCTCCTCATATAAATTCATGTCTAGAGCTGTGTCAGAATCCCCTGCCATGGCTCTGGGCCTGTGCTTGTTAGGAAAAGGAACTCTCCTGGTGATCAAAGTTAGTCAGCATGCCAGGGATTCCCTATAAAGAAATTCCCAAGACTAACACCACAAAGATTTTGCCATCCTGCCCGGGGAGACTGATGGAGACTTCCCTTCTCTGTGCACAGCTGGCTGTCCAGACTCCCAAGCCTTCTCCACCACCACTGGAGCAGCTGCAGCTCCTGACCAGCGGCTGCTGCAATGCCTGATTCCATTGCTCAATTCCTGCCAGCCGGGCCATTGCCCCCTAACCCTCAGGAGCCACCCACACCACGCC